GAGACAGTTAAGCAAGTCCCAGCTGTGTCTGGGTACAAGTGACAGGATGAACAACCCAGCGGGTTTTCTTCCTATTGGGGAGTGTTGTACATGCTGCTATCCACTCACAGGATGAGTGGCGCTGCCCAATAAACTCAACCCTCAGGGCCAAATTTAAATTCGTAAGCCTAACAGCCTTCGTGTTGGCGAGAGTGCGAAGTGCTCCAGGTTGTAGTGTAGGTGTACAGGTGTGTTCCAGACACCTGTCATGTACCAGGGTTGTAGTGTGGGTGTACAGGTGTGTTCCAGGCACCTGTCATGTACCAGGGTTGTAGTGTGGGTGTACAGGTGTGTTCCAGACACCTGTCATGTACCAGGGTTGTAGTGTGGGTGTACAGGTGTGTTCCAGGCACCTGTCATGTACCAGGGTTGTAGTGTGGGTGTACAGGTGAGACGCCACAACACCACACAAGACGCCACAACACCACACAAGACGCCACAACACCACACAAGACACCACAACACCACACAAGACGCCACAACACCACACAAGACACCACAACACCACACAAGACGCCACAACACCACACAAGACACCACACACAACACCACCACAAGACACCACAAGACCACACCACCACACAAGACACCACAACACTACACAAGACACCACAACACCACACAAGACGCCACAACACCACACAAGACACCACAACACCACACAAGACGCCACAACACCACACAAGACACCACAACACCACACAAGACACCACAACACCACACAAGACAGACACAACACTACACAAGACACCACAACACCACACACAGACACCACAACACCACAACACCAGACGCCACAACACCACACAAGACGCCACAACACCACACAAGACACCACAACACCACACAAGACGACACAACACCACACAAGACACCACAACACCACACAAGACACCACAACACCACACAAGACGCCACAACACCACACAAGACGCCACAACACCACACAAGACACCACAACACCACACAAGACGACACAACACCACACAAGACACCGCAACAACACACAAGACCCTACAACACCACACAAGACGCCACAACACCACACAAGACACCACAACACCACACAAGACACCACAACACCACACAAGACGACACAACACCACACAAGACACCGCAACAACACACAAGACCCTACAACACCACACACAAGACGCCACAACACCACACAAGACACCACAACACCACACAAGACGACACAACACCACACAAGACACCGCAACACCACACAAGACACCACAACACCACACAAGACACCACAACACCACACCACAGACGCCACAACACCACACAAGACACCACAACACCACAACAAGACGCCACAACACCACACAAGACACCACAACACCACACACCAGACACCACAACACCACACAAGACACCACAACACCACACAAGACACCACAACACCACACAAGACGCCACAACACCACACAAGACACCACAACACCACACAAGACCACAACACCACACAAGACACCACAACACCACACAAGACACCACAACACCACACAAGACACCACAACACCACACAAGACCCTACAACACCACACAAGACACCACAACACACAAGACCCTACAACACCACACAAGACACCACAACACCACACTAGACACCACAACACCACACAAGACACCACAACACCACACAAGACCCTACAACAACACACAAGACCCTACAACACCACACAAGACACCATAACACCACACAAGACCCTACAACACCACACAAGACCCTACAACACCACACAAGACCCTACAAGACACCACAACACCACACAAGACACCACAACAACACACAATACCCTACAACACCACACAAGACCCTACAACACCACTCAAGACCCTACAACACCACACAAGACACCACAACAACACACAAGACCCTACAACACCACACAAGACAACACAACACCACAAAAGACACCACAACACCACACAAGACACCACAACACCACACAAGACAACACAACACCACAAAAGACAACACAACACCACACAAGACCCCACAACAACACACAAGACCCTACAACACCACACAAGACACCACAACACCACACAAGACCCTACAACACCACACAAGACCCTACAACACCACACAAGACCCTACAACACCACACAAGACACCACAACACCACACAAGACACCACAACACCACACAAGACACCACAACACCACACAAGACAACACAACACCACACAAGACCCAACAACACCACACAAGACACCACAACAACACACAAGACCCTACAACACCACACAAGACACCACAACACCACACAAGACACCACAACACCACACAAGACACCACACAAGACCCCACAACACCACACAAGACACCACAACACCACACAAGACAACACAACACCACACAAGACCCTACAACACCACACAAGACACCACAACAACACACAAGACCCCACAACACCACACAAGACACCACAACACAACACACAAGACACCACAACACCACACAAGACCCTACAACACCACACAAGACACCACAACACCACACAAGACACCACAACACCACACAAGACCCTACAACACCACACAAGACACCACAACACCACACAAGACCCAACAACACCACACAAGACACCATAACACCACACAAGACCCTACAACACCACACAAGACCCTACAACACCACACAAGACACCACCACAACACCACACAAGACCCTACAACACCACACAAGACCCTACAACACCACACAAGACCCTACAACACCACACAAGACACACACAACACCTCACAAGACACCACAACACACAAGACCCTACAACACCACACAAGACACCACAACACCACACAAGACACCACAACACCACTCAAGACCATACAACACCACTCAAGACCCTACAACACCACATAAGACGCCACAACACCACACAAGACACCACAACACCACACAAGACACCACAACACCACACAAGACACCACAACACCACACAAGTCCCTACAACACCACACAAGACACCACAACACCACACAAGACCCTACAACACCACACAAGACCCTACAACACCACACAAGACCCTACAACACCACACAAGACACCACAACACCACACAAGACCCTACAACACCACTCAAGACCCTACAACACCACACAAGACCCTACAACACCACACAAGACCCTACAACACCACACAAGACCCTACAACACCACACAAGACCCTACAACACCACACAAGACCCTACAACACCACACAAGACACCACAACACCACACAAGACCCTACAACACCACACAAGACCCTACAACACCACACAAGACACCATAACACCACACAAGACAACACAACACCACACAAGACAACACAACACCACACAAGACCCTACAACACCACACAAGACCCTACAAGACCCTACAACACCACACAAGACCCTACAACACCACACAAGACCCTACAACACCACACAAGACACCACAACACCACACAAGACCCTACAACACCACACAAGACACCACAACACCACACAAGACAACACAACACCACACAAGACAACACAACACCACACAAGACCCTACAACACCACACAAGACCCTACAACACCACACAAGACCCTACAACACCACACAAGACGCCACAACACCACACAAGACCCTACAACACCACACAAGACACCACAACAACACACAAGACCCTACAACACCACACAAGACCCTACAACACCACACAAGACACCACAACACCACACAAGACAACACAACACCACACAAGACAACACAACACCACACAAGACCCTACAACACCACACAAGACGCCACAACACCACACAAGACCCTACAACACCACACAAGACACCACAACACCACACAAGACACCACAACACCACACAAGACCCTACAACACCACACAAGACCCTACAACACCACTCAAGACCCTACAACACCACACAAGACCCTACAACACCACACAAGACCCTACAACACCACTCAAGACCCAACAACACCACACAAGACCCTACAACACCACTCAAGACCCTACAACACCACTCAAGACCCTACAACACCACACAAGACCCTACAACACCACACAAGACCCTACAACACCACTCAAGACCCTACAACACCACACAAGACCCTACAACACCACTCAAGACCCTACAACACCACACAAGACCCTACAACACACAAGACCCTACAACACCACACAAGACACCACAACACTACACAAGACGCCACAACACCACACAAGACACCACAACACCACACAAGACACCACAACACCACACAAGACACCACAACACCACACAAGACACCACAACACCACAGTGACAACTCGACAACCTCACAACGGTTATGGGAATCTGATTCCTTGGAAGGGCATATCCCAGTTCTTGAAGCCTCTTAACTCCGTTCCTAAATACCTTCAGGGTTCACCGTCCAGCCGTTGTTGTAGTGGACAAAGAATTGTTGGCAAAATGGTCTTTGTGTCCCATTTGTTGCGGTTTATAAAACTCAACATAAATTAAAAAAACTGAACATGTTCAATATATCCTTAAATTTAGGCGGGTTACCTTAAAACTCCTTAATAAAGAGAATTACTTTACGGATCCAGATCCGTAAAGTAATATGTTAAAGGTTTAAATGTAAGCTCTGGTGATATACCCCAAATATACCCTATACCCCAAATTCTTCATCATAAATCCAAATCCTCACTTTCCATACCCTCGGGCTAGGCTAAAAATGCCTGTCCCCTGTCTGTCCCCCGACTGCAGGGACAGATAGGCTGCCTGTCTCCCGACACAATGAATTATTAGTATTATTATTATAAGAACCAGATGCTGGGCCTGTCATAAAACAATGTTTAAAAACCATGATCTAAAAAACCCTAGTACTTAAATGTGTCATTCTGGTTTCTCTTGAGGATTTTCCAGATGTTTCTAGCATGTGGTTGTGGTATGGAGAACCATGGCTTAACTCCCATGCCAAAAATGGCAGTGCAACTGACCTGATCATGGTAGTGAGATCTTGATCTCTCTTCAAAGATTCATGGTAGAGGGGACGAGGCAGGAAGGTATCGTTTCAGGGGAAGGGGAAAAGGTGTTGGTTCAGGGCTCGCTGTTAGCGCTGAAGAGGTCGTTCTTGTCCTCAACTTCCTTCCTAGCTTCCCCGCAGTGCTGCTCCGTCAACCTCTCGACCTGCAGTAACACTTTCCACCTACCCGACGCTGCTTCATATATACCAGCCCGACCCCGCGCATGCGTACTCCTCTGTTCCACCCCTATCCCACACTCCCCTACCGGAGACTCTATCCTAGCGCCCCATCCCCCTCCCAGCGTCCTACACGCCTCCCAGCCGCCACGCCTCTATCCACCCACCTCCCCCCCCCCGTCCGGGAGATTACACCCACCTGATTCCTATTTTGCCACGCCTACACATGGGGTGATCCCCCCACCCTTCTACCTCTACACACCTGACCGTATCCTTCCTCCTCCCCCCACCCCCTTCCCCTCTCGCACACACCTGATATTGTCTCTCATATCTCCCAAAAACACCTGGCCATGTCTCCTTCCTCCCACACACTCCTAGGGGGAGTGTCTCCCCTCTCCCACACACTCCTAAGGGGAGTGTCTCCCCTCTCCCACACACTCCTAAGGGGCGGGGGTGTATCCTCTCACACACACACACATCAGAGGCACATATCAACAGAATCAAATCAGCGGAGTATGCAAAGCTGGCTCCCATGCCATTAACATTCAGGAGCTCCTCTTCCCCCCCCCCCATCCCCACATACACATACTGAGGACGGGTATGAGATATTAGGAAAGATTTCTGGAACTAAACCTCACGTCGGTGGAAAACAGAAGAATTAGGGGAAACATGATCACTACCTATAAGATTCTTAGATGAATTGACAGGGTCCACAATGATGAACTGTTTAACACGTGTGGTACGCGAACAATGTGGAAAACAGGTGGAAACTGAGTACCCAAATGAGCCACAGGGACGTTATAAAGAACTTTTTCAGTGTCAGAGTAGTTAACAGATGGAATGCATTAAGCAGTGATGAGGTGGAGGCTGACTCCATACACAGTTTCAAATGTAGATATGATAGATATGGCTCAGGAATCTGTACACAAGTTGATTGACATTTGAGAGGCGGGACTAAAGAGCCAGAGCTCAACCCCCGCAAGCTCAATTAGGTGAGTACAGTGGGGAATTGAAAGAAATGAGGGAAACCATAAATAAACTACACATGGAACTAAGTGCAGTGCAGAAAGAGATAAAAAACTTAAAAAGAAGCCCTCCTCAGACTCAGGTCCAGGCAACCAACCCCCAGGTAGCAGGGGATATAGCAATGGCAGGGACCTCTATAATGGGTGCTACCTTTGCTGAAATGCTGAGGAAGAGCCCAGAAACCATGTCCACAGTCAAAGAAGTTGCAATGAAAGCAGTAACTTCATGGGAGGTAGCAAGATGCATGCGTCAGCTAATGGAAAGGAAAAAGAGCTGTAGTTGTGGTAGGTATTGAGGAACAAGAAGGTTCTTGGCAGGAAGAGTGGAGGGCTAAGGACAAAGCTGCGGAGATACAAATGGAAGGGGCTGACCAATGCCTGGATCATGTTTTCCCGGCAGTACAACAAAGACAAAAATCGATTGATAAAGCTTAATTCAGGAAAGAGGCCACCAAAGAGGACATTCTAGTAAAGAAGAGCAAACTGCAATATGTAAGGGAATACAGAGAGGTATTCCATCAGAGGGACGTGGCCAGGGAAGAGAAGAAATAATGCAAGCAGCAGATGCAAGGAAAAGGTGCAGGGAGAGGGAAGGGAGCCAGGGAACTTCAGCCTCCAACCCAACAATCCCAAAGGGAAGTTTGGAACCCCAAACAAGCAATTCAGGAACCCCAGATGGGACTGCGACACTCCCCCCCTCCCCCCAGACATGCCACCACACTCCGAGCCCAAACCCTCCCTTTCCCCTACACAATGCCCACCATACCATCCAAATCCTCCCCACTCACACCGAGCACCTCCTGCACCTCCTCCACCCCATCTCCCCCCATCCCCCTAGTAACTACCCGCACAAGAGGACGAGCCCTCACACCGAGAACCCCCCTGGACCTGAACTTCTTCCAGTCTCAAGCAGGCCCAAGTAAGATCTAAGCCCTCCATCCCCCACCCCACCTCCCTCCAAACCCCTGGTTACTACCCTCCAGGAGGATGAGCCTACCCAAGTAGCCCATGGATCGGCTAAAGCAAGTGAACTGGCCGAAAGGGCACAAGAAGAAACCGCAGATGTAATGGGACTCACAGAAACAAAATTGTCAGGCATCATAACAAATGCAGTGTTTACATAGGACTTCCATATAGTAAGGAAAGGGAGAGGAGGTGGAGGAGTGACCCTGCTGTTAAGGAAGGACTGGAGTATTGAAGAAATTAAAATTCCAGGATGTGAAGGATTCAGACTCAACATAACAGGAACTATGACAATGGGTGGACCTAAGATAATAGTGGCAGTCATATAGAGCCCTTCATTAAATGACAGAAGACCCAGACAAGAGTTTGATAGGAACAACATGGGAACCAATAATATTATAGAGAGAGCAGCTTCAGTTGTCTTCAGAAATGGCTCCAGACTCTTTATCCGTGAGTTACTGTGAGGCAGGGAGACATCAGAGTGGCGAGATGTCACCAGCGGAGTCCCATAGGGCTCTGTACTTGGACCCACGCTGTTTCTGATATATGTAAACGATCTTCTAGAGGGTATAGACTAATTCCTCTCAATGTTTGCCAATGAGGCAAAAATTATGAGAAGAATCAAGACAGGTGAAGATAGAGACTACAGGATGACCTGGACAAACTGGAGGAATGGCCTAGAAAATGGCTACTAAAGTTTAACTCAGGAAAATGCAAAGTAATTAACTGAGGCGAAGGGAGCAGGAGGCTGAACACAAGGTACCATCTGGGAGGTGCTATCCTGCAAGAGTCAAATAGAGAAAAAAAGATCTGAGGGGGGGGGTTAAAATATCGCCGAATCTATCCCTAGAAGCCCATATCAAAAGGATATCATCAGTGGCATATGCTAGACTGGCCAACATAAGAACTGCTTTCAGAAACTTATGTAAGGAATCGTTCAGGCTCTTGTATACCACTTATGTCAGACCAATCCTTGTGTATGCAGCTTCAGCCTGGAGTCCGTACCTAGTTATACACAAGAGAAAGTTAGTGAAGATTCAGCGGTATGCCACCAGACTAGTCCCGGAACTGAGAGGTATGAGCTACGAGGAAAGGCTAAAGGAGCTGAACCTCACGTCCCTGGAAGACAGAAGATTAAAGGAAGACATGATAACCACCTACAAAAGTTCTCAGGGGAATTGACAGGGTTACCTTGAGGTGCTTCCGGGGCTTAGCGTCCCCGCGGCCCGGTCGTCGACCAGGCCTCCTGGTTGCTGGACTGATCAACCAGGCTGTTGGACGCGGCAGCTCGCAGCCTGACGTATGAGTCACAGCCTGGTTGATCAGGTATCCTTTGGAGGGTGGACAAAGACAAACTCTTCAGCATAGGTGGGACACGAACAAGGGGACACAGATGGAAACTTAGTAAACAAATGAGCCACAGAGACATTAGAAATAATTTTTTCAGTGTCAGAGTAGTTAATAAATGGAATGCATTAGGCAGTGATGTGGTGGAGACAGGCTCCATACACAGTTTAAATGCAGATTTGATAGAGTCCAATAGCTTCAAGAATCTGTATGCCAGTTGATTGACAGTTGAGAGGCGGGACCAAAGAGCCAAAGCTCAACCCCCGCAAGCACAACTAGGTGAGTACACACACACACACACACACACACACACACACACAATTAGGTAAGTACACACACACTGAGCGAGTAGGAATGAGCGACCACAGTGTACTGGCGTTTGAGTACCTGATTGAAGAAAAGTTATTGGACTCGAGGAGGGGTACTGGAAACGAAAGGTTAGCATACCGAAAGGGAAACTATGAGGAGATAAGAAAATTCCTAACAGATATAGCATGGGAACCAGAGCTCAGGGGAAAGACGGCCCAAGACATGATGGACTACATCACGCAGCAGTGCAAGGACGCAGCAAACAAGTTTGTCCCAGTCCAAAAGGAAAACAGTGAAATGAAGATGAGAAACCCATGGTTTAATCAGAGATGTAGGCTAGCTAAGCAGCAAAGTAAAAGGGCATGGAGAAACTATAGGAATAACAGGACACTGGAGAGCAGAGAAAGATACCAGAATGCCAGGAATGAATATGTTAGGATGAGAAGAGAGGCAGAAGGACAATACGAAAATGACATCGCAAGCAAGGCAAAGACTCAGCCTAAATTGCTGCACAGCCACATCAGGAGAAAAACAACAGTAAAGGAACAGGTTATGAAATTAAGGATAGGGGCAGAAGGATTCACTACTAACGACAATTAAGTGTGTGAGGAACCAAATAAGAAATTCCAGGAGGTCTTCACCTTAGAGCAAGGAGAGATTCCAGAGATAAGTGAGGAAATAGTTAACCAGGAACCACTGGAAGAGTTTGAGATTACCAGCGGGGAAGTAAGGAAGTGTTTACTAGAGTTGGATGTGACAAAGGCTATAGGCCCAGATGGAATCTCCCCTTGGATACTAAAGGAAGGAGCAGAGGAACTGTGCATGCCACTCTCCATAGTGTATAACAAATCACTGGCAACAGGGGAACTGCCAGAAATTTGGAAAGCAGCTAACGTAGTCCCGATATACAAGAAAGGGGATAGGCAGGAGGCACTGAACTACAGGCCAGTGTCCCTAACCTGGATACCATGCAAGCTGATGGAGAAGATAGTGCGAAGAAAGCTAGTGGAACATCTGGAGCGAAGGAACTTTGTAACACAGCATCAACATGGGTTCAGGGATGGCAGGTCCTGCCTCACAGGGTTACTTGAATTCTACGACCAGGCAACAAAAATAAGGCAAGAAAGAGAAGGGTGGCCAGACTGCATATTTTTGGATTGCCAGAAAGCCTTTGATACAGTACCACACAAGAGGCTAGTGAAAATGTTGGAGATGCAGGCTGGAGTGAAAGGGAAGGTACTCCATTGGATAAAGGAGTACCTAAGCAACAGGAGACAACAAGCGAGTCAGTGTGAGGGGTGAGGTCTCAGATTGGCGAGACGTTACAAGTGGAGT